ACATGGTTTTTTACTTGCAGATACCCATTTCTTTCTATAAGGAATATGTTTGCCTTGAATATTTAATAATTTTCCACATCTGATCACAATAGATACTTTTTGTCGCATCCCTTCAAAATTTGCTTTTTTGACATTTGTAACTAAAATATCATTTTTCCTTATCGCCATATGCAGCAAAACATTGAACCTAATAAAGCAATGATCACTTGCACCCAGATGTTCCCCAATTTCCACTCTTGCAATCATTTCAAAATTTAAGTTAACAATAAATCTAAAATAGCATTGTTTCTAGTGGGTTCCTTGACTAATTGGTGAAGATAGCTATCCAGAACAGTTTCCAAAAACCTTTCTATCTCATGGTTTGACTCTAGCATATCCCAATCTATGTGCCTGAAATTAAAATCACCCATAATTATGACTTCATTAACAGCTGAAATCTTAATCTCGTTGTAAAGTTTCTCATTAATTTCATCAGTATCATTTGGTGGTTTGTAAAAAATTCCCATTAAAAGCCTTTTCCCTTTACATCCACTGATAGAAATCCAAATGGATTTAATCTCTTTGCTATTATCTTTGAACTCCTCAACTACAACAGGATGTAACTCACATTTTACATATAAATCGATTTCTCCCTCCCTTTTTAATACTCTGTCCATATTAAATAGCCTGTAACCCTGTATTTCAAATAAATTTCTGTCATAAAAATCATCTACATTTAACCATGTTTTAGTTATTCCCATTATATCAAAATCCTCCATTCCTACCAGTGTTCTAAAGTCATCTATTTTATTTCTTATACTTCAAGCATTATAAGAGTAACAATTAGTAATTAGCTCCTCTGACCTACCTTTCCCTATATCATTAGCCCTTACATACACCAGAAAACTGCATCTCTGCTAGCTCCCTTTATTATATCTCCTGCTCTGTCAGTTATATCCTTCACTTGTGCCCCTGGGTAGTATAATCTGATTATTTTCTCCCTATTTACCCCACAGACTATTCTATCCACATGCCTTGTCAAGGAATCCCCAATAACTATAACCTCCTTATCATCCACATTCTTCTCTGACCCTTTTGTTTTCCTTCCCTCCAATAGTTCCTCATCTGCGGAAGCCAAGGGCTGAAATTTCTTGCTCAACAGAATAAGCTCATTATAACTAAACTCACTACTTTTTACTCTTAATAGTACTCTTTCTAATTTCCTGAAAGTCATTGTTAGCTGATGTATCCCTTGCATGTAAAAGCATAAGCTCCTCCTTAAATCCTGCTGCTATTTCCCATAATCTACAATTCTCTTTATCTATTGCATCTACATTAATTATGATAGCCCCCAACTTCTCCTCCAACCTACAAACTCTACATAAAAATTGCACATCTTCATTACTAGCTTCCCTAAAAGTACCTGCCTGTCCTGAGTTCCCAAATAAAACCCACATATTGCACCTAACAAACTGTGAATTCTTAACTCCTACACTTGTCTTAACCATTGTATTTATACTTATAGTTATAGCCTGAAAATAATACTCAATATCAAATACCAGTAGCCTATTTTTAACACTGTTATTCTTAGGCCTAATGTTTAAGAACCAGTTATTTTTTATCACTACTTTGTCTTTACACTATATTAATAGTTTTTTTTAATTATATCAAGCTTAATAATTTATTATAACAATATACTTAATGTTAATAAATAAAATCTGTTTAGCCTGATTTATTTTATATTATAAAATACCTTTATTTATAAGCCAAATTTATACTAATGGATCTAAGTTCAAGTAAACAAGTTAATTCTTAAAACACCAAGAGACAATAAACTAGTTTTTAGATGGTACTTATTTAATAAAACAATATATTTAACCTGTTTTACCAGTAAGTTGAAATATACCTAAGCCTAGTAAGTAAGGTTTCATGTACTAAGCTTATTTTAATGTTGTAGTAAAATTTACAACACAAAACTCTAAGTTAAAACCTTGACCATCTTACTTTTAGTTACCAATCTTACTATATCTATTTATTATTGTATTACTTAACTCAAATTACTACAATTTATAATATCAATAAATCTATAAGAGCTTAACTTTTTCACATCCTCCCTCTTCAGTTGCACCCTCTATATGTCCCAGATGTTATTATAAATTGTTTGGGAATTCCAAATATGGTATATATAACATGCATTTAATAAACAAGATCCAACCCCCCTACCCACAAACAAAGTAAGTTCATAGCATTTCACGAAGACCACTTTTAACTTGTCATAATCCATGTAATCTTCTGGTATCATGTCCATATACACATGTAGGCCTTTTCCTGTGAGAAGGGGGCTGAGAAAAAATTCCCAGTCACCTTTGCCCCAGTTCTGACTATGTGAATCTTTCATACCCCTCCAGGAAAGCATCCATGTTGTCTTTCTGTTCATCACATTTGGGCTACTTGGGTTGGCTGGCCCTACCCCATTGTCATTCTTGGGTTCTCTGTCCTTTTGCTGGGTGAGCTTAGTAATCTCAATCTCTGCCCATATTTCCAGTCTTTCCTTTTTCTAATTTTCTTCTTTCTCTTTTTATGTTCTTATTCTCTCTATTTCCAGTCTCTTCTTTCTCAATTTGTATTCATATTCTCTCTTCATGCTCTTCCTTCTCTAGTTCTCTTGTTGTTGTTTAAAAACTCTTATACATCACCATCTTTGAGCCCAAGTTGCTCACCCCTCTCTATCTACTTATCAAAGTAAGTCAACATGGTTATATAATGTGATTGTGACCTCTACAATCACGTTCACATCTTCTACTGTATAACCCTGGCTGGTTCACCAATGTCAGGTTTTTACACATGGACAGGATTCTTTACTGTAGGTGGCTATGACTTGTTGGGGATAAATTTCAGCAATGAACAAACAGCACACAATCCACTTGTTTTAAAATAATATATACATTAAAACAACTCAAAGATATGTACAAATGTTTCTTATACAGTTGGATATCACAGTTGTATCCAGAGTTTTAAATAATCATTCCTTTTTCATTGAAGTCCACACAGGCTGGTTCAGTTACTGGAGAACACAATTGACAAGAAGAATTATTATTCTCTGCTCTGTTATTACAATACAATCTGTGATAATTTCATTTACTTTACACCGTTGGTTACCAAAGTTGAATTCAGAGCTTTAAATAATGGTCTTTTTTCATTAAAGTTCACCCAGAATACAATTTAGAAGAAGAATTATTTCTTCTCTACTCTGTTATTACTATACAGTGTGTGATAGTCTCACTATATTATTGTTACTATACATTCTTTATTGCCAAACTTACAATCGCATAGTGTAGATCTAACTATCTATCTAACTAACTCTTTCTGTATCTCTCAAACTAATTTTGTACGTGTATTTATAGCCTGACTGAGGCCTAGAACGTTCTACACACTACAAAATATTATGATGCAATATTACTTTGACAAAACAATGAGAAAAACTTAGAAGGTTCTAGAAACATGATGTAATAATACAACAAGTGCCAATTCACAACAGTTGTACTAAAGAATGTATGATTCATACACAGTTATGTAAACCAACCTGCAATAAACTATCATTTCTAAAAATAACTATATTTCACACTTGTGCTATACTTAAACCATCTGCATCGTAACACTCGCATTAACTTAAATAGTCATGTATATCTAACAGCCACTAATACATGCCGTGGAAGAGTTCATTGTCCAAGCTTCACTTCATCTTCCACTAGATCCTACAAATAAGTTTTGAGATACAGAACTCAAAAAGACCAAAAGAGTATGGAGCCAGAGAAAGTGGCATTAACTGGTGTAAGTTTTTCCTTTATGAAAATTAGCCACTGTTGCTTTGATATTGTCTTGATCATGTCATATGATTCAAATAAAACATTTATTCCAACTACTTACATGTTGTATCATCTGAACAAAAAATGTTATCTTTGTGTAACTTTGTAAACAGAAATATTTTAGATTTGTATTCTTGAAGTTTTATTCCAAGTTCAAAGGTATTTTTGCTATTTTGTTTGCCATTTTTGTGTTTTACAATTTCTTATAAAATTAAAATAACTCTAACACAATTTGTTATGAGCAAAAATTTGATTAAAAGTGAGGAAGGCCACCCATCTATTAAGTTTTGCTTCTATATAATTTTTAATTCATTAATGTAATCAAGCTGAAAATTTACATTTTGATTTGTTTTTTTACCTGGAACAAAACTATATACTGATATTGATGTAAGTCAGAAATTATGAGATATCACTTAGTGGTTTATTACATAACAATTCGCCCAACATGTAAACTTTCCAGATAATTTTATAATAATATATTTTATCTCTTGTAATTATTAATATTTGAAAGTGATGTAAGTTAGAAGTTACAAGATATCACTTGTTGGGCAAATTGTTATGTAATAAACCACTATCTAAAAGCATGTAAACTGAGTTACATAAACAATACTGACAATATTACATTTAATTCCACTAATTATTGCTGAGGTTTCTTATATATTTTGGAAAGAAAATAAGTGATTTCCCCCAATTTTTTCATCAATTCCCAACACAAGGTGTTGTAGCAAGTTAAATCAAAATTATTTAACATAACAAAATATGAACAAACTGATAATTTGAGGGTTAACAAATTATGAGAAATTATAATCCTTTATCATTATGTTTGTTTAAATATTTTTATGTTCTACATTTTTGTCTTTAAAATGTTTCAAACTATGATTATTTTAAAACAAAATAAAAACTGAAGTTAAAAAAAGTGTTTGTTTATATAATGAAAGTAATTAACTCCTTAATTATAAATGTGTTGAATACCATAAATGAGAGCATTTTAAAAATTGGATTTATTAGTTAATTAACAAAAGTTTATTGTGACTTATTGTTTTAGGGAAAAAAAAGATGTCCCTCCATTGATCTATTTAAGGCAATCTTTCAAGATTCTAGCTCAGATGATGTAAGCTCTTCAGATAAGGAAGAGGATACTTCTAGCACAACTGTTCGTAAAACGTCTGAGGTTAAGATAATTTCAACCACTGGTGAAAGAAGAGATTTTGTGGTTGGACCATTTGTCTCAGAAAAGTCGCTAAAAAGACTTCCACCTCCACCAACAGGTGTTTTTGCTAACTTAGATCTAGATTCTCTTTGCAGAAGACCAGAAAGAATAGAGAAACTAGAGAGTTGTTCTGATAATAGGGATGGTCAGAAGGAAACTGTTGTAAGAATGCAAATCGTAACTAATGATGAAATGTCCAAAAAAGACAGGCAACTGCCAAATAATGGTCATGATAAATCTTTGAAACTTGGACTTAATAGGGAAGAAGTTTATGGGCCAAAACTACCTCCAGATATGGAAATGATGAGTAAGCTGTCTCATAACATTTCCTTATGTCAATATATACCATTTCTGTTGATAATTATCATGAAAATCCACATAAATAGCAATTTAAAATAACTTCATACTTACTATAGTAAATTAACAGCTGACCATACTTCACTAAGCTCTGGTCCTAGTTTGTTAATTAAGAGAGTCTTTTATATGTAGTCTTCTTTTTTACATCCTTTCACAAGAATTTTAAAGGAACTGTAATATATTATCATGTCACATTCACCAGTATAATTGATTGTGATTTGTCATAAATGCATGTTCTTTTGTGTGAGTTTCTAACCACCTCATGGTTGACAGAATTCACACAGGTCCTTGAAATCCTCCAAAGTCATGAAAAATGAGCTCTAAAAATTACTGTACTGAAAATCATGGAAAAAAAAATGTTAAGTAATAGTCCTGATATTTCAGTTTTAGTAAGAAATACCCTTGAAATAATCTGCTTAATTGAAAAACATTAGACAAAAGATTTAATAATCAGAATAACTTAGTGTATTAATTAAAAAGCATGTTGTTATTCCTACAAAAGAATCGGACAAGATGGATTATAATCTCCACTTGAACCGTGTTTCTTAAACTTTGCAAAAGAAAATTTCTGGGTTAAATTTCTATTTTGATAGGTCTTTTTGTTCATCAAACATGCCTTCAAGCAGAAATTGTAACAGTCTCCTGTTCCTGAAGCACAAAAGCTAAAACAGAATATTAAGAAAAGTTTAGTTTGAAAGCTCTTTATTTTGTTACAAACAGGATTGATTAGTCGATAGTACCACTACTGCTTGCTTTATTTTTTGTTAGAGGAGCTCCAGCATTTTTTGATTGATCTGTATATATTCAGAAAGTTAATTTTCTATGCACATAATCATGTTTATGTATTGCCAAACAAACTTAATTACAAATAAATAAGAGGACAATAAACATGCTGTGGTTTCTCAGCTTATGCTAATGTTTGCTTCTGTCTGCAAGTTTCTGTATTCTTTGTTTACATACTTTTTTGAAATACAGGCACACAAGATAGTATGAAGAAAAGAAAAATGAGAATGGAATCAAAACATAAGAGAGAAAAATACAAGCATAAAAAGAAGAAACACAAGGTAAGGCACAAATATATGATAAAATAACTGTTTAATCTATGTGAAATGTAGACTTTATCTATGATTTTGTAGCAGTTTCCAGACCATAAGGACAACTTACTAAAGCAAAACGTTCAGTTCCATGTAGATGGTGTGATGATGATAAATTTTATTTGGGCAGTTTGTAATTGCTGTGAATGTTGTATATTCAGTCTTAGTGTTTGAAATAACAGTTTTGTTTTGTCTAGCTTGAAGAACTAGCCAGCAAAACAAAAACAAAAAAAAATTTTTTGAGTTTATTTTTTGGAGGGTGAGAGGTCAAAACTGCTGAAACACTATATATTAAATATAAACTTGGGTATAATTTCACATTATCAACTTCAAAGATAAAATATGAAATTGCAAAAGTTTTTTTGTGTGTACACTTAAGTGGTTGGTGGATTTACACTACCACAAGTACATTACTGTATTTCATTTGTAAGTGTAACAACTCCAAATCTAAGATTCTACTATTTATATGATGTATGCTACCTTAAATGTCCATTATAATGAAGTAAAGTAGGTTGCAAATCAGTAAAAGATCATATACATATCTATAATGGTATAAGCAGTCATACTTCATTAGTATTTACAAAGGCTAGTGATTTTGTTAAGTTTCATTTTGTCATTGACTCTCAAAGTGTTCCAAATCAATGGAATGTGTGAGCAATGACAGAACTGGTAATATTTCATTAATCTAGAATGGGAGTCAGTTTGTTTCTTCTTAGCTGCATGCGGAGTTTTAGTGGTTTCAGAGTGGATTGGATAATATTTATGCTTATTTCTGTTTATAAAAAGTTAGATGGCAGAAAACATACTCCACTAACCTCTTGACTGTCAAACAGTTGTACTGATGTAGTTAAAGCTATAAAATACCAATAAAAATGCTGTTGCTTACTCCTGTTTCTGAAAATTGTGTTTCTTTTTTTATGTAAAGTTTATTTTTATTTTCTTTTGTCCCCCGTTGGGATAGTGGTAAGTTTACAGGCTTACAATGCTAAAATTTGAGGTTTGGTTCCCCACAGTGGATAACCCAATGTGGCTTTGATCTCAAACAAACTCGCAAACTAACTTTTCCTTTTTTGAGCTTCTAAAGGTTGGCCATAAACGACCTAGGAAAAGACAAAAAGTATCCAGGCATTTTCTAAAACATTGAAGTTTTAATTATGTAAGAATATAACAGTAGCCTTGTGGGTGAGTCGTTTTGGGTTTGACTTCAACACCAGTTACAAATGAAATTTATTTAATTCCAGATATGCAGTCATGAGTGGGGGTACACAAGTTACCAACTCAATAACGTTTACATTTAGAATAAAGAATTGACTCTGAGACTGAGATTAAAAACACAAACAATACTTTAATACAAAATATTCAAATATTCATGTACTTTGAAAATATCTTGATTAGCTTCTACATTAAAGGAATCAAATTCTTTGTTCTGAGTGAGCAATTGTTCATTAATCAAACCTTCAATAGTAATCGTTAAATCTCTTACTACGACAAATAGGTTATCAATTAAAACATTACATGAAATATGCTCAGACATAATTTAATTTGTGAGTTCTCTTTAACGTTACACATTTTACTTCAATTTCTAATTATGTTATTTGACTGTAATAGATTTGTTCCACCTCAGTCAATTTCTCAGTCTACCCCATTTCACCATGGAATCATTTCTCACCCTCAGATGGGTTTTTTCTCCAGGTTTGTGGATGACCAAAATGGATGTTGCAAATTCTTTCTTGCATATCCCGATATCTCGTCAGTCATTGCCACATCTTTGGTTTATTCATCATGGGGTGATTTATCAGTTTCGCGCACTGCCATTCAAGCTTGCTTCAGCCCCGTATATTTTTTGTTGGGTGGTCAGAGCATTTGCTTATCACCTACATGCTCTTGGGTTGTGCTTTCATCATTATATGGATGACTGGCTACTGTTAGTTCATTCCGAACAAGAGTCTGCCCATCACTCATCAGCTGCTCCTAGAGATGGCTCAAGTTGGCTGGTTAATCAAATAGGAGACGTCATTCCTTCAACCTACCCAATATTTTGCCCATTTTGGTGTTTTTTTTCAATACCAATCTCAGTCGGGCACATCCTTCTCCTCTTTGACATCATTCTATGGAGCTTTCAGTTCTCCATGCTCTTACTGCTTCCTCTATTACAGCTCATGAGGTTCTATCACTTTTGGGGATGTGTTCTTCCACAGCAGCTCTTATCCCCTTAAGTCATGTTCATATGCAGGCTCTTCATGACCAGTGGAATCCTATGCAGGCTTTTATTACCCTTCCTCCTACCCTAATCACTGATATGCAATGGTAGTTAAACAAGACTCACATGTTGGCGGGTGTCCTGCTTCCTCCTCCTCATCCAGATTTACTTATTTTTCACGGATACATGGGTCCATCAACAGGAAGCTTCAGGGTGTTGGTCTGTGGCCAAGAGGTCTTTTCATATCAACATCCTGGAGCTTCTTGCTGTACATTGGGCTTTGGTTCATTTTCTCCATCTGGCCATAACTCGCCTGGTAATGATCCATTTGGACAATTCTACAATGGTTGCATATGTCAATCACCAGGATGGCACCAATTCTTTATCCCTTTGTATTCATACTTTGGATCTTCTTTTTGGGCCAACATGCAAAATATTCATATCATTGTGTGCCATGTTCCAGGTGCTTTCAATCTTGTTGTGGATTGGCTTTCCCATCCAGACAAAATCTATCCAAAGGATTGGTCTCTTAATCCTCATTTTTTGCCTGTGGCTTTGTCTTCAGTGGGGTACTTCTCACATAGATGCTTTTGCCACATCCCTTAACTACAAATCACTTCTGTTTGGGTCTCTCATCCTCTAGCTCTGGTTTTCAATGCTTTCAGACAGGATTGGACCAACAAATACCTATATGAGGATAAACAATAGGTATTTGTTGGTCCAATCAATGTCTTCACTTCTTCCATACAACTCTGTGTCAAGTCCTTCTGATCGCTTCTAGCTGGTCAGCTCAGTCATACTTTCCATGGCTTCTCCATTTAAACTTATCCCTCTGTTACTTCTTTCTCTGTCTCCCTACCTTCTTTGTCAACCATGGTCAACAGTGCTTCATCTAGCACTTCATGTTTGGTTTTTATCCAGTCCTTGGCAGGAGATCCAGCTTGTCCCAATGAGTAGCTTCATTTCTGGCTAGTTCCATTTGCCCTTCCCTTCATGGAAGTTTATCAACGTAAATGGAATGTTTTCCACCACTGGTCTCTAGGTTGAGGATTTTCTGCTGATTGATGCACTGTTTTTTGTATCGTGGATTTTCTTACTTGGCTTTTCGATTGGGAGTCTTCTTTCTCCTCAATCTTGTGTTATCGGGTGGCCTTGTCCCACACCTTTCTTTTTCCCAAAACTGTAGGATATTTACCCTTCCTAGCTTTCCGTTTTGATGCATTCCTTCTGGATTTGTCATCCACAATTGCAGGCTGCCCTTCTGGACTGGGACATTAATGTGGTCCTTCACTGTCTCATGTTGCCTCCATTTGAACCATTTTCCACTTGCTCCTTGTTTCACTTTTCCCTTCTTTTGGAAATCTAATTTATTTGCCATCAATGTTTCATGTACTCTTTATCATCCTACATATATTCTCTTTTATCTGGATCATTTTTTCCTCCTCAAAACTTTGGTAGCTAGGAAGGGTAACTCCTCCTTTCCAACAATTTCCCTTCCTTCCATTTCCCACCTCTATCATAAGTCTGATCCAGATATATTTCAATGTTCTGTTCATGCTCTTTGCTGTTATATTGCCCACATGGCTTCCTGTTCCTGCCTCTTCATTCATTGGCAGCCATTCTCTATTCATGATCGTTCTCCTTCCACCCTCACCAATTGGATATGGCCTTTGATTCACTTGGCTTATTCCTCTTTATTGTCTTCCTCACCTTGTTGGGTCACGGTTTCAAATCCCTGTCCCACCAAACATGTTCGTCCTTTCAGCCATGGATGCATTATAATGTGATGGTCAATCCCAGTATTTGTTAGTAAAAGAGTAGTCAAGGACTTGGTGGTAGGTGGTGATGACTTGCTGCCTTCCCTCTAGTATTACACTACTAAATTAGGGACAGCTAGCTCAGATAGCCCTCTTGTAACTTTGCGCGAAATTCAAAACAAACCAAACCTCCCATACTTTCTTCCAGGTGTCTTCACATCAAATTTGACACCTTACTTTTTCTCTGGTGTCTCATCATCATCGTTCATTGGAGGAAATTCTTCAGTTGGGCATGTGGACTACTACTAATATGTTCATCTCTCATTATCTGCGTAGGATTGTGGTTTCTTCCTCTTCAGGCTATTGTCCTGCACCTGTAGCCATTCTTCAGACTTCAGTGAGACTTTGACTGGGTAGGTTATCTTCTATTATTCTTTATTTCATTTTCAGGGTCCTTATTTCCATTTTTATTATTATTACTCACTGATCAGATCCCACTCTGTGGGTAGTGGTGCCTGACCAGGTATTTTCTAACTGTTCAAATCTGCACTGTTAAGCTATGTCGACTTGCATATCATGAATCCATAGCCACACAATGCACACTGCAGAGATGGAGAGTTCCACAATATCACATGTAGGTTTATCCTTGCGATAGAATTGCTTCATAAGTTTGCCTGTCCCAGACCATACCTACCCATGGACTACATGGGTAAAGCAGAAGGGGATAACTGTCCATCCCTGCCATGCCTTGTATTGAATAGATTAGTATGGTCTGCTTTTAAAAAATAGGGTTATGTGGTCACTCATTTCACTGCCTCTGATGTTGTTATTCCTCTGAACCATCCACTCTTTTCTTCTAGTGGAGCTTGAGAGTCCTTACCACTTTCCAGTTCCAAGCTGCTGGGGTGGTGGACTGTGGAGGCATCCTCCTGAATGGGTTAATGAAATACAAACAAAATATAGAAATTATTATAAAACCATTCAGTTGAGAGTAGGGCAGTGATGTTCTGCTG